GTTTTGGCTCGGAGTACACTGTGAGTGTTTATGCTTTAGCATCTTGCATGTATGTGAGTGTTAACATGGAAGCATGCTTACCATGAGGCTAATTGCTCATGTGATATAACTGCCTGAATGCCTGTGGGTGAAGGTTGGATTGCTTGAATTGGAATAATTCATCGAAATCCGTGATTTAGCCTACTTACAAGTAGCAAACTTCAAACCGTTTTTCAAATAACAAATATGTGATGTTTTGTTCCAAATTAGGCAACCTAGTCTATACTTGTGTGTTGTGCGCATCACATAGTAAGATTAGGTAATTAACCGGAATAAGAACACATATGTTTTCAAAACTCGATATCTTGCTTAGTACAGGCCGATCTTAGGATCGGGCGAGTGGGGGTGCTCATAGCTGACCTTCCCCAATCGTACCCAAGTTCCCGAGCCAAGGCAACTTTGGTGGTGACGGACACGTGGCCTTAGGCAATGAGTCAGGGTTTCCTAAATTCCCTCAAAATAAATATTTAGGTGGCGACTTTGTATCTGGCAAAGCAGTCGATGTTTAGCACTTCTTTCTTAAAAATCAGTTTTCCAAAACGATTTGCCGGATTTGGACTCTTTGGTGATTTATCAGTCTTGCATTGTACTTTGCGAGATCAGATTCAGAACCGTGACACTTAAGTCCGAACTGTGATAGCATAAAGCTCAAGGGCGCGTCCACACTAATGAGCTATGACAGTCTGTATGCAAAAAGACTTTTCATAACATATTCACATTCAAAACCATAACAGTATATACATACATCATATACAGGCATTCGGGTTAGGGACCAAATCCCTACCATAATAGTACAGTACAAGTCTGATACAGTCTATACAAAACAGAAACAGAAAGGGGGAAATCTAAAACACCCATAGCTTGGCAGCACTTGGAACCTCACAGTGAGGCACGTTGGTTGGCTTGACAAAAAGGGAGTTTAACCCAACGCTCCTAGCTTCGATCCAGTGCCTGAACACCTACATATATATATATATATAAATAGTAAGCTAAAGCCCAGTGAATAACATATGCATAAAGGGGTTAGGAATGAATGTCCTTTCAGTATTTAAAACAGTTATTTGAACAGTATATCAGTTATTCGATCATAGCAGTCATAAGTGGTACATCCAATAGCAAACAGTACAGTAGGTCTTAACAGACCGAACAGTCAATTAATGGCCATCATATCAGTAAACAGTAGTGGTTCCAAACATGGAAACCGACAGAGATCTCTGTGACAGTAGCAGTACAGTACAGTAACAGTAAATTGCTATGGATGTCACGAATACAGTTCGCAAATAGGACAAGCATTCATTCAGTAAGAAATATCATTTCAGAAAGCAGTACAGTTGATCATTCAGAAAGTATTCATGATTGAATATATCTTTACAACATTGTTACTCGCAGAGTTCTGGGCTACAAATAGGCTAGAGTGTCCTCGGATGCCAACCCTACACAGTTACAGAACGAACACACACTAAGTTACACATATCCTCATTAAGATGCCTTAAACTAGGTCTAGGAATGCCTAGGATGGAATGAGGATGCAAAGATGCACTTTAAAACACTTTTCAGAATTTCCAGAAAATAGGGGTCTCGCTCGAGCGTGGCTTTCTACGCTCGAACGGACATGCAAACAAAGGAGCTCCGCTCGAGCGTGACTTTCCTCGCTCGAGCGGACTGCAAAAGTACTGGATGCATGAAATTCATGCTCGACGGGCGCACGACCCCTGCTCGAGCGTGAGACACAAGTTCTCGCTCGAGCGTGCATTCCCTCGCTCGAGCAGACTGTAAACACATGCAAAGTACTGGATACACGCATTTCACGCTCGAGCGTCACTTTACTCCCTCGAGAAGACTGCATGAACTCAGAGTGTACGCTCAAGCGTGGAGTTCCTTCGCTCGAGCGTGGGTCCAAATTCTGGAATTTCCAGATTGAACCTCCAAGCTCAAAATCAACATTCAACACATCAAAACTCAACCTCTTGGGCCCATTTTCTGGAAAAACACTTTAAACCCATAATATAACATGTTTTGAAGATCAATTTGTAAAATCAAAGCCCAAGGGTGAGTCAATTGAACACCATTTTCAAATAAACATCAAGAGCATGATGAACATGCAACATGCATGAGTTCAATTGAAATCAAAGCTTCCAATACATAATCAAATGAGTCAGTCCTTTCAAAAACATGATGAATTCATGAACTATAATCAAGGTATGGACATGCATGTAGCAATTTCCATTAAAACAACCTCAAAATGCTAGAACATGTACATGCATGCTTGATTCAAGCTTCAATTCAACAATTTAAGTCATAACTCAGCTCTAAACTCCAACAATCCTCTAAACCATGCAAAAACCAACCCAGAATATGAACAAGAAGGTTTATGTCTTGGAATTCTAATGAATGAAAGGAATGCGGTTAGTTTAAATGAAAATGCATGTCTTATCTGATGGGTTTATTGTTATTATTTTGAGGGCGTTACATGTACATGCATGCTTGATTCAAGCTTCAATTCAACAATTTAAGCCATAACTCAGCTCTAAACTCCAACAATCCTCTAAACCATGCAAGAACCAACCCAGAATATGAACAAGAAGGTAGATTCTCTACCTTAAGTCTCTAATTTCAAATGTAGAAGCTCAATATGCAAGGAATCCTTCAATCTCCTAAGCCTCCAAGCCAATTTTTGGTTGAAATCAATCTATCTCATATCTCTCTCTCTCTCTCTAGTCGGTTTGGTATGAAGAAAGGGGCTGAGAATAAAGTGTCAAAAGCTCCTAATCAAGTCCCAAATATTGATGTAGAGAAAGGCCACTCAATGGCAACTAGGTAAATAAAGCCAACTTATGTAATTTAACATTATTAAATCTAATTTAATCATACCAAATCACATTTCAATTAAATATACCATAAAATCACATAAATTCTAACTAGTATAAAATATTAATCGATTTCAGATTCAGCCGCCGTTAAGGTCTTCAATTTGCAGTTTAAAACATAAAACTTGAACATATCATTTAGCAGTCAAACAGATAGATTTGCATTTAAAATAATACACTCAATCAATCAGTTTAGAATTTCAATCAATCAGTCACTTAACATGCTTAATCATAGTTTAGCACTAATCAGTGGTGAGGGTTGTCACATTAACCTAGGTATTTGATGTTATGTATAAATGGTGGGATTTGGGAGTGATTTGGGTAAACTAAGGTTTAGGTACAAATTAAAAGAGGAGTTTTCCATCTTGGGTTGTAAAATGACTATAGGACTTTGAATATGTAGCTCTTTTGTGATTAAATGAGAAGTTTGGCCTTGGGGTTAATATTTGAGAAAAGGGGAAATTTGCCCTAATTTAGGTTGAATAATTCATCTTGTATACATAATGAAATTGATATGGGAAATATGTATTGGGAGAATGTATGAATGAATGGTCTAATTGGATTTGATAAATGACTCACCTATGGAAATTTGATAGATTATCTGTTTAAAAGATTGTATATATGTTTAGAAATATCTGTTTTGGGCTATCGATGGAGGATAGCTATGATTGTTGTAGAAATTGCAGGTGGATTAGGTGAATTGGAGCCTATTATTTTTTAAATTATGTCATTGAATATGACGGTATGATTGAGACATTGAATATGTATTGTGGATAGTCATTGTATATAACAACGTTTTTAAATGCATTGTATATGTATCATTGTTTGGGAGGAGATAAGGGATGTACTCCATTGTTTGGGAGGAGATAGGGGATGGACTTCATTTTAAATTAAGTTGGCTGGAGTGTCCTGGGTGAAAATCCCGAAATCATATTGTAGTCGTAGACGCGCCCGAACGTCCCGGGAGGGAAATCCCGTTCTGTTCATTATGGGCTCACTAAAGTTCGGACTCAAATTGTCACGGTTCTTAATCTGAACCAAAGAGTTCAAATCCGGCAAATCGTTTTGGAAAATAGATTTTTGTAAAGAAGTGCCAAACATGGACTGCTTTGCTAGATACAGAGTCGCCACCTATATGTTTTATTTTTGGGAATTTAGGAAACCCTGACTTGTTTGCCTAAGGCCACGTGTCCGTCATCACCAAAGTTGCCTCGGCTCGAGAACTTGGGTACGATTGGGGAAGGTCAGCTATGAGCACCCCCTCTCACCCGATCCGACGATCGGCCTCTACTAACCATGATATCTTGTTTTGAAAACATTTATGCATTCTTATTCCGGTTATTAACCTAGATTTACTATGTGATGCGCATAAACAAAAGAACATATCCAACAAAGGCAAATACAATCCACCAATCCAAAAGTTCTAAAAATCATCTTCAACATCAAGCAAATGAACTTCTTCTTCATTATCATTGGCTTCAGCATATCCCTCTGCATCTTCTTCCTCTCCCCCATCTGAAATTGACTCTTCCTCATTAATAAGTTGTAATCTAGGTCTAGCTGCTAATTTTGAAGTTGAACAACCCCTTTCTATTGCCCTTGTTGATCTAGTTCTTTGGCTACTTTCCTCAACTCCAGCAGTTCTAGCAACATCATCCCATGTCAAAGTATTATCCTCAAAGACAAGTTCCTCCTCCATCCTCCCAACCAACCACTCGTTACTTTCATCAATATCCGTCAAAGCAATGGGATCAATAGTGTCATGGGAATTGTATCGACGTCTCAATGCTCTATTATACTTGACAAATACCAAATCATTCAGACGTTTTTGAGCTAACCTATTTCTCTTTTTGGTGTGAATCTGCAAAAATTTAAACCAAATAAAAATATTCAAACTTTTATCTAGGTATTAATAAATTTATAGGTATTCATATTCACTATAGTTATAAATAGGTACTCACATGTTCAAACACACTCCAATTCCGCTCACATCCAGATGAGCTACATGTTAGACTAAGAATTTTGATGGCAAATGTTTGCAAATTTGGTGTTTCAGAACCATATGCACTCCACCAATCAGCTGTTGAAAGAATATTTAAAATATAAATAAACTAACTAAAATTAGTTAAGTATAAAATATAGATCACCTGGTGTCCTTGTAGTTCTTTGTCTAATGGCCAAAGCCATCCCAAAGAGACCATCAGCTTTCTTATAGGTAGTCAACTCTGCGCAAACTTTATCTTGTGTCGCATTGTTTGGGACCAACCTTTCTATGCATTTATACAGGCCTGACATGACTTTCTTATCTTTCTCAATATTCGGATTTGCGTAAAAATACTCTGGGTTTAAATAATACCCAGCTGCATGCAAAGGCCTATGCAATTGAACATTCCATCTATTGTCAATTATTTCAAAAACCTCCTTGTATTTCTCTTCATTTCCATTAAATGATTTTGCAATGGCTTCTTTAGCCCTATCTATTGCCTCATAAATATATCCCATGGGAGGCTTTCTCTCACCATCAACCAATCGCAGTACACGAACAAGAGGACTTGATATTTTGAGAGCATAAAGAACAGTGTTCCAAAAAGAAGGCATTAATATGACTTGTGCTATCTTTTTACCCTGTGGTTCCTTCGCCCACTTGCTTGTGGTCCATTCCTTTGAAGTGAACATCTTCTTCAAGTTGGTTTGTTGTTGATGAATTCTTGATAAAGTTAGAAAAGCAGTTGCAAATCGAGTTTTTGATGGCTTGATCAAATCCTTGCACTGGGTAAATTGCCTCATCATATTCAACAAACCAGAGTAGTTCACAATATAACCATGCACCGCAATTGCCTTTTCAAATGTCTTGTTGAAGTTGGGAATTTTGAAAATGTCCTCCAACATCAAGTCCAAACAAGGTTTTGAAAAGCGGTTGCGGTCGTCGTAACGGTAGCGGTGATGCGGTTGCGGTTGCGGTTGCGGGTATAAAGGCCGTAGTATAACGGTTGCGGTAACCGGAACCGTGAATTTTTTTATTTTTCGCACAATTGGAAAAAAACTTACCGATACGCATATTTTTTTTCCATGATCATATTTATTGGATTAAAAATAAATATTGATTAATTTTTGTAAATTTTTAAGTATGATCTAATATATTTCATATTTTAAAGTCACTATAAACTGAGTTTTTTACATTTTATTTTAATAATTAATGACTTTATATTATACAAAAATTCAATCACTAACTATTATATATAAAATAAACAATGACAAAAGTATGAGAATAAATAAGAGCCTAAATATATATATATATATACATATTTTAACCAAGCCAAATAGATAATGACTACACTTATTATTATTAGGGGGATGCACCAATAAATCCCAAATTAATAACTCATACACTGTTTAGTCTTAAAAGTTTTCTTATAGACTGAAAGGTCCTAAATGGAGCATAAGAAAACTTTTAGGACTAAATGGTTCAACTTTTTAGAAATTAGGACTTATGGGTAAATTTTCCTTATTATTATTATTATTATTATTATTATTATTATTATTATCAAACAAAATATAGATAGACACACAAACAAAATGGTTTAGTAATAACAGCTGAATAGAATAGCATAGGTCATACAGTTTCAACAAATCTATAACATGTTCTTCATCTTCCCTCTTCTCTCTCTCTATCTCTTGCTCCTCCATTTTCTCTCTTTATCCTCCCTCTTCTCTCTATCCCTCTTCCCCCATTTTCAGCTTTTTTTTTTGAAAGAAACAGTTTGAAACCGTTACGTAACGGTGCGTAACAGGCCGTTAAGGCTGTTACGGCACCGTTACGACCGCTACGGTAGCCGTTACAGCCGACACACCTGTGAATCTCAATCACACTGCAAAAGCGGCCGTAACGGGTTGCGGTAACCCGCCAAAACTGTTACGTAATGGCCTTACGTAACGGTTGCGGCCGCTTTTTAAAACCTGGAGTCCAAGCAATGAGCTGCACATGGTGTCCAATACAAATGTGGCCGCTTTGCCTCCAAAAACTTCCATATTACAAGTTTTAAAAAAAAAAAAAGAATAATATGAGAATTGCATATTCATATTGTAA